TACCTTTCGGTTATAAAAAACTCAAAGTTTAAAACTAACACCTTTTAATTATTAATTTTTTTGTACAATTTTTTTATTTTTTTTAAATTTATATTAATGTATTACTTTTATTTTTCAGCAGCGTAATTTTTTCCTCTACTTTGTGATACACATGATTATCTGTCACACTGTAAAGTAGGGTCACTAAAAAGCTGTAGTGAGTTACCGTTTGTCCTATCTACCTAAATAAGATACTTTGTCATTAAAAGATGGTCAGTTAAGACCAATAAAAGATATCTAATATAGCCCACTTGACAATTACTGACCCAAACTTATTAAGCTAACATTTAGTATTCATTCAGCCTACTCATACAAAAGATGGCTATCAGATCATAAAAAGATGTCTTCTGAACCATATAATTTTATCTACTTTAAAAGGATGTTTAGTTAAGACCAATAAAAGATATCTGATATAGCCCACTTGACAATTACTGAACCTATCTTATTAAGTTAAAATCTAGTATTCATGCAGTCTTCTCATACAAAAGATGGCTATCAGATCATAAAAAGATGTCTTCTGAACCCTATAGCTTTATCTACTTTAAAAAGATGTTCAGTTAAGAAAAATAAAAGATATCTGCTATAGCCCACTTGACAAATACTGACCGATCTTATTAAGTTAAAATTTAGTATTCATGTAGCCTACTCATACAAAAGATGGCCCTCAGATCATAAAAATATGTCTGCTGAACCATTTCCTATGTTTTAAAATATATATTAAAAGATTTCAGACTTTGTAACATCATTGCAACTTTGCTCGTTACTCACTCGAATGTGGGACAAACAATCGCTTGTTCTATGCTATCAAAAATATCTTAATTCAACATCAAATTTACATGTTTGATTTCTCTGAGGAATCTTATTGGTTGTAGGCCTCTTGGGGGGGGGGGGGGTGTCAACGGTGCTCACGGGTGCCTTGGAAACCAACACGCTCATTATTTTCTTTGCTCTAAATTTTTAGCGTCATTTTCTTTACTTTGCATCGATGTGTCTCGTTCTGCGTTGAACGTCACATCCTACGTCTAATGTCACGTCATTCACATCACTTTCTCCTCTTTACGACGATATGCCATATACATCCTCAAATTACGCTATTTAGATCCTTATGCTATGCTGTCATCTTTTGATTTTTCTATTTATCATTCTCCTCATCTATTACCCTCTATCTATGTATCGTGTTTCAGATCACTTACCCTGGTATAAGGACCTCTATCAATAACATTGGGGTCGACCATAACAACCATAAACCCCTCTGGCATAACGATATTGTGCAGTGGTTGTGGGTTTTAGGTATAAGAAGCGATGAGGGTTATGATTATATTGATGATGATTATGATGACTATTTTAGTGGTGAAGATCATGAAGAGGGTGCAGATGACGATAATGAGGACTATAATGATGCTGATTATGATGACGATTTTAATGGTGAAGATGACGATAATGAGGACTATAATGATGTTGGTTATGATGAAGATCATAAAGATGGTGAAGATGACGATAATGAATAAACATTTAAACTTTACATTAATTATAATAAAAATTATTTTATTGGTTTTTTATTCTGTAAACAATAAAGTAATCTGTATAGACCTTGCCTTTTTTTTTTAATTTTGTCTTTTACATTTTTTCTATTATGTACATTCTAAATTATGATAGATGATTCGAATAATTGCACACCTCACCTTTTATGCATTGTTTCACGGGAGCGAGAGATAGACTGAAGGAGTGTCTTTTTTTTTACGATGTCAGCTGCTAGATGTAGTCGACAGGTGGCGTGACGAGTTGATCAACTGTATGTGGAACCCCATTCAAACTATGTCAAATATTTGATATAGAAACGTTTCGGCGATGATTCTCTGTTAGCGCCACTTTCTTTCAATGTCTATTATGCTAAACGAAGATCCGATATAACGGCGTTTTTTGGTCATTGTCTTTTGTCTTAATATATTTCCCCGTTACCTCTTCTTTTCATTTAACGTTACACGTAGTAATCTGACTAATAACAACAGAGATACGACATAGCGTCGTTTGGCACGGCTTTGCGTTTGCTTTTTGTCTTAACATATTTGTTACCACCTCCCTTTTCATCAACACCTCACACATCACGATCCGTTCGTTTTGGTATTGTCTTTGCGTTTGCTTTTTACCTTAACACATTCGTTACCACGGCCCCTTCCCCATCAACACCTCACACACAACCGTCTGTTTTGGCATTGTCTTACCGCTTACTTTTTATCTTAACATAATCGTTACCACATCCCCTTCCCATCAATATGTCACACATTATTATACGTTGAGCTCTATCACCCTGTTCTTCCTGCTACGATGAACAGTAAATGCATGTTTGTTTTGTGTCGCAAATACATGTCGAATGTCACGTTATTCAAGCAACATTTCACGTTCTACCACGTTCTGTGTCGACGTTCTCTTAGGCACTGTATGTACAAGAAGAAGAATGTTCGAGCTTGTACATGGCTTCTGTGTGTCACCAACGCTTTGACACCTCATACGTCAAAATCAGACCAATAGCAACGAAGGCACGTTTTAGCGCTCATTTGGCAACGCCGCCATCTTTGTTTTTTTTTTTTGTCTCCCCACCTTCTCCCCGTTCCATCGAGGCCTCGTACGTCACGATCGAACCAATAGCAACGAAGATACGTTTTAGCGTCCCCTTTGGCAACGCCGCCATCTTTGTTTTTTGTCTCAACGTATTCGTTACCTCCTTCCCGTTCCAACGACCCCTCGTACGTTACAATCGGACCAATAGAAACAAAGATATGATGTAACGACCTTTTGGCATGCTCCGATGCGCACGGCACATATTTCATTCAACCCCATTTTTCATCCTCTTTCCAATGAGCCCTCGTACGTCATCCTACGTTAAGCCGTTTGGCATTTGCAACCGTGTGACGTCAGAGTGGGAGTGGTGGGGGGTGCCCCAAGCGGCCCATACTCTACTAGTGGCAAGGATCTTAACTTCATTGAAATCCACTTCATGTTTTGTATTTATCGCATGTTGTGCTAGGGCACAAGTGTGTTTCGATAAATTAATGTCGCTACGATGTGAAGTGAGACGACCTTTGGTGAGACGACCATGGAATTTCCATGCGCTAATTGCGATTTATGTTACATTGGTCAATCTGGTAGATCATTAAAAGGTCGTCTCACTTCACATCGTAGCGACATTAATTTATCGAAACACATTTGTGCCCTAGCACAACATGCGATAAATACAAAACATGAAGTGGATTTCAATGAAGTTAAGATCCTTGCCACTAAACGCAATCTAGCTAAAAGACAGTTTTTGGAAATGTGTTCAATATTAAAACACCCTAATGCTTTGAATAAGAGAACTGACATAAGTAACTTGAGCCAAATATATCATGCTTTAATTTTGCAGAATTAGGCTGCTTGATCTTTTCACTACATTAATGTCATATTAGGTGTACTAGTTGAACCTTTTTCCATTTTTCATAAAATAATTTATATACATAAATAGAAATAAAATAAATAAATATATCAATAAAATAACTTAATAGTCTTTACTTAATTTTACTATTACATATGCAACCTACATTGCATTTCAATACACTAATTACTTTAATTAGTGCTACCAATTTTATACTAAAATAATACAAATATTGTAATTGATTCATAGAATCCTTTGCAAATCACAGTTCCAAGTATATTGAACCTTGGGCTGTTTGGAAATTAAAGAATCGTTAACCACCTGTGGCTGTTTAACTAGCCATAATGATTAACGTTATTACATACTTATGAGGTTGAATGAAAATCTCCTGTTTGTAAAATTGGGCTGATTAGTGAGGGGAGTTGCTATTACACTACCAACTTTTTTCACTGTGTTGTCCTTTGCAACCGGGTAGTCATCCAAACTCATTTAAACTTAAATTAACCGCCCAAAATTTGGGTTGGTATCTACACCTTGTTGATCTGTCAAAAGTATTTTTGACCTCAAGGTTGGCTGTCTTTTTGCGGTTTAGTTCGTTCCTGTTTCATTAAACGCCATTTTCTCGGCGACATTCATAGGGCTTTGATCGGTAACTTCATTTTTACTACTTTTTAAAATTTTATTAATATCACTTATAATGCTACCTAAAGTTAAAATCAAAGCTTAATATCCATTAAATAGTTGGAAGTTATCTATGATTTTCTTGGTTCTTACTCACTTATTAACATTAAATAACATTGAATTTACTTTAGACCACATGGTCATTTGCTGTGCTAATTTTTTATAAGTTCATATATGTTGTTAGTTGCTTAACTGTTTATACAAGATCAGCGTATTATGTCCATTTACTTAGTTTCATTCACATGTTTGTTAATAACATTGACTGCTACATATCTTTTTAAGGTAACAATTAACATCGTTTCCATGATTGTGTGGTTCTCATATTGTAAAATTTTTTAGATGAACTGATGATGCTTTCAAAACTCGAAAGCGAAACGTCTTCAAAATAGATAAAGTAGCCTATCAACTTTGTCTTTTATTTCTCCACCTAGAGACCGATATAAGAACCCACCACTCGTCTGAGTGATCCTTATATATATATTGGATTGACGGTCGTACTCCTTTTTCCGATATATATATATATATATATATATATATATATATATATATATATATATATATATATATATATATATATATATTGTTATGATATGTAAAATTGAAAATAAAAGATATTTCGAAGAAATGAAAGTCCATTATCCTGGATTACATGTAGTAAACAAAATTTAAAGATATGCATAAAGTATTTTCTTTGTAAAATATATTCGAGTGACATGAGTGAGTTTAGTGAAATAGTGAACAATGCGAGCGGGTTTTACTCGCTAATATTTTTTTTAATTTAACGAAAGACACAAACACTCAATACCTGACAACATATCACAAGCTTGGGGATATAATTGCAATATTAAAAACCTATGTAACTGTCTAAAGGTCAATTATATCCTGAAAAAATTATAAACTAGTTTTATGTTTCATTTATGTTCATATTCTAGAACTTTAATTTTTAATTACCATAATAAATAAAATTGTAATTTACTTTATAATTTTAAAAAGTTATTATTGTATTATGACCCCCACCCCGCTTTAATAAAAAAAAACATTTTTTTTATCAAACAGTATCAAATAATAATATTTAAATATTTTTGTAAACAATCATTAGATCAGAGAATTATCATCATCATCTTCTTGGTGCTACAGCCCTTAAAGGGCTCGACCTTCTCAAGCTTTCTACGCCATTATGTTCTGTCCCTTGCTTGCGTTTTCCAGTTGCCGACTTCGATCTTCTCCGCATCTTGTGTTACCCCATCCATCCACCTCAGCTTTGGTCTACCCCGTCTTCTCATTCCCACGGGTTGCGCTGTTAGAATCTTTTTTATCATGTTCGATTCAGGGGCCCGGGCTACATGTCCTGCCCACTGCAGGCGGTTTCGCTTAATTATAGTGACAATATCTTTACCACCGAACGTATAGATATTCGGCAGTTCAAAGTTATACCTACGCCTCCATATTCCGTTCTCACAGACCGGTCCGAATATCTTGAGTAGCACCTTTCTTTCAAAAATGGATAGAGCGGATTCACCTGTTGTCTTTAGCGTTTATGCCCCTGACCCATATGTGAGAACGGGGACTATCAGTGTTCTATACAGCCTTATACGAGTTTTTAAGCATGATAACACCTGTTTGCAATTATAAGTCGCCTTTTTATTTCCTCAGATGTGTTATTATTGGGGTTAACCGATGTCCCTAGATATATGAATTCTTTGACTGCTTCGAAGTTTTGGTCATTGATGATTAAATTTGTGTCAACATTTCCAGCTCTTGTGTTTGTGTTAGTCGGCATTATTTGGTTTTATTTTGATTTATATGTAACCCTATTCGTTCTGCTGCTGCTACTAGCTCGGTTAGGATTTCCACAGTTCTCGCCCTAGTTCTTGTTATAATGTCCACGTCGTCTGCATATGCTAGAATTTGGACTGATATATTAAATATTGTTCCTCTGCTATCTAAATTAGCGTCCCGTACAACTTTTTCTGAGGCGACATTAAAAAGCTGACATGCCAGCGCATCTCCCTGCGTTAACCCCCTATGTATTTGAAATGGGGTTGACGAGTCGTTTTGAATTTCTACTGGTGATAGCATCTTTTGATGCTATCAGCTAGCATCTATTTGATGCTATGCAAAAAATCAGAGAATTATATATAAAATAATTTATGTGCTCTATAAATGACTATTAAATATGTACATTTGGTGAATTTTTGTTAAAAGTACATTCCAAAATTATGTTAGATTCGTTATAGTAACGGATTTATAAAAACAAACGAATAATGCTCTCCGTTTACGTCTAAATTCAAAACAGATTACTACTATTGAAGGATTCGTATGTGCTTAAGTCTTAGGAAGAACACTTAATTTAGACAGTCTGGAACTTTCCCATTTTCAATTTACGCTACTCGAGTATTTAAATCCGAGCATTCTGGATGTTGTTTCTCGCTAAATTCCTATGAAAATTTCAATTTATCCATTCCTTTGAATTTACTGGATATAATTTGATTTCACTAAATAAGCCCCAACGTGGAACGTTTCTCTCGCACAGTTTACGCAGGAATATTATATAAATGTTTTAACCAATTATTCAGTAAAGCGCAAATGTAAACAGTTTTTAAAATTGTGGTAAAATCGTTTGGATTATTATAACTAAACTGCAATGTATATTCCGACAAAAAGTAGAACTTACCCATGTAACGTATATGTATATCCATATCCATCCAAAGCTCATCTCAAAGATATTCGATGATATTCAGATCAGTGCAGCAGGCTGGCCATTCTAGAGTATTAATTCCTACTCCCCCAAATAATTGGTCACGATTCTTGCAGTATGCGGTCGTGCATTACCATTCATAAATACCATAATTACTATGCAATTTGCGACACAGTTGGTCTCATTTAGCATAATTAGAGCCGCTTATTTGATTTTTCTCTTTTCACCATCCGTTTCTTTTAAGACTATACCTGAACCCTATGTTTACTTTCCCATGCGTGTTTACATATTTAAGATCTATCAAATTCTCTATTTTTAATATAAGATTGATGTTCACTTATTCTAACATTTAATGGCCTTGATGTTTTACCTAAATAAAACTCATCGCACTCACAAGGTATTTTATAAATACAATTCTTTGTCTTTTCTTGTTCATTGTTAGGTTTGGTTTTAGACAAAATAGATCTCATGTGTTTGTTGTTTTGCTTGTTAATAAGTGTTGAATTTATTTCCTATCCTTTTAAGTTTTTCTGATAATCCTTTTATGTATGGTATTGTTATTTTCTTCGTATTATTCCTTGTGTATGCTGTAGGATCTGGTTTTAAGTTGTTCTATTCGATTCGTTCATTGAAAATGCCTTATTTATAAACGATAAAGGATAATCATTTTTTAATAAAAAAGAATTAAAAACAAATGTTTTTCCTCCAAGAACGAATTTTTGTTAGAACAAGCAATTTTGGCTCATACGTATAAGGATTTAATGATTCCCTTTTTAATATTAATATTGTGATTTAACCTGAGTTTCATATCCAGTATCCTTCTTAGAGATAAAAATATCGAGAAAAGGTAGTGAGTTATTAAATTCGTTTTTCATGGTAAATGTTGTTGTCTCTTCTTTGTCGTTTATATCATTCAGGAATGTGTCTAACAACTCTGATGAATGTGGCAAATGTTTGTATTTCCAGAACGATTTCCGAAGTGGAAATTGAAATGTTAAACTTACTTTAACCGTTAATTGTGGCTTATTCTCATTTAAATGGTAATTAATTTTTAAACCAGAATTTAATACAAAATAATTTAAAGCTTTATGTTAGTTTAGATTTAAAACCTACAACCATCTAGTAAAGAAAATCTGAGCTACTGTCATTTCATATTTTGTTCTTGAAACAATACGTTTAATTAGTAATACAAAAAATATTAATTACCTAATAATATAATTAATAAAAATAATAATATTAATATTTTTAATGTACAATTTAATACAAAATAATTTAAAAATGTATGTTAGTTTAGATTTAAAATTCTACCGTTATTTAGAAAATAAATTTGAAATATCACCTGACATTTCAACCTATTAGTTAATCATGTTTTGTTCTTGAGACGATACGTTTAATTAATTTACTAACAATATACAATTGAGTGAAAAATAATCGACTCAAAATTATTTTGCGAAAGTACGTCTCCTGTTTCAATCTGAAAAGTGTAAATTTAAAAATATTTAGTGTACAATCATTAACCTCATTATTAAGTTCTAAAAAAATTTGTTTTTTGTTGAATTGGATGACGCATTACAAATTAATAATGCAACATGTAGAGAGGGGGTCACAATTTGACTCATTGAAATCGACACGCACCGACATAACGCGTTCGGTTACCATCGTACGCATCAATTTCCATAGCAACCCACTAATACATCAGTCACTTAAGTTCGCAACTTCATTACAAATGGATCACCATACCTATCAACGCAACTCAAGCAGTAGCATTATTAGGGAAGGCCTGAGCCAGAGGGCCGAGGCAAATCGACTAAATTTAAGCCAATCTGCTGTATCCTGAGTGTATCGTCCGTACCAAGATACTGTTTATTTTATCCGTCGACAAGGAGGAGGCTGTAAACGAATAACAACAGAGAAAGATGATCGATTTCTTGTATCAAAATCCCTAAGAAATCGATATTTGAGTGGTGCTAAACTCAAAGAGCTTAGTGAGGTCCGAGGTGTGGTGACCAGCGTTTGGACAGTCAGAAGGAGACTAAAGGCAGCCAACCTGACACCAAAAAGGGCATCTAAGGGTACCAAGCTAACTGCAGCCCAGAAGCAAAGGCGATTAGAATTTGCTCGTGAACATCTGAATTAGGACGACTATCAATGGAGTCAGGTATTATTCTCCGATGAAAGTAGGATCTGCCTACATGGCAACGACAAGAGGCGTTGAGGTTATGGAAGGTCAGGAGAGCGATTTGCTCAATTTTGTTTACGAGATAGTGTGTCATGAAGGCGATTCTTGTATATTTTGGGCAGGCAGTTCTATGAATGGGAAAACCGAGTTGATTTTCATGCATGGTGGGGGACGCGGAGAAGATTTAACGGCAGATCGTAACATAAGAGACATTTTGGAGGAACATGTGGTTTCATACGCGGGATTTATTGGTGCTGCCTTTATTTTAATACACGATGCCATATGCGTTAAGCCCGGACATAAATCTAGTAGAGCATGTTTAGAATGAGCTTAAACGAAGTGTCCGGGACAGAAATCATACACCAAGGAGTATAATAGAATTGAGAGCTGCGCTTAATGAGGCGCTTAATGATGAAGGGGAAGCAATGCCTGAAGAATTTATTAGAAAAGTCATCCGATCCATGCGTAATCGATTGAAAAGTGTGAATAATTAAGAAATTCAGGTTGTAATTGATGATTTCTCTGTTCATAACGTCTTTCTTGCGTTAGTTCCAATGATGAATATTTAGGAAACTTTGTTTGTATTACATATTGTTTTTATAATGCGTCTTCTAAATAATGCAATAGCAGTTTTTGTCAGGTCAATAATAAAGTTATTGTTTGCACATTAGATTTTATTATTTTTATATTTCTTACATTGAAACAAAAGGTGTAACCTCAAATATCGCTTTTGAATCAATTATTTTGCATTCAAGTGTATATTACTAACAATATGAATTACATATACTAATGCTTAATAATTACATACATAATAATTAATACGAAGATAAATAAGGCGACTAAAGGGTACTACCCAATATCTTAATTAGTAATAAGCGTATAGCGACATACGACAATTTGCACTATGGATACATGCACTATTTATAATAGGCATATTAGCTTTATATAAAAAGTTAAATATAAGATAAACTTGCTTTATTGACCTGAAAACCTGAAAAGGGCTTTGCTTTATTGATTACAAAATAAACAACCAACCAGCCTAATACTGGCATATGACACATCAAGTCAAACGCCGTATATATATATATATATTGTTATGATGTGTTGTTTTTATATGAGCTATGAGTAAATTTGAATGATATATGTAAGTATAGGGTTTTTATCGCGGTTCTCAAAGAATTAGTTTGTAAGTACTTTTTTAAATTACCTTTATTATAACTATTATGAAACAAACATATCTATCTAATATAAGCAATATCAATTTAAAACAATCTATCTAAAATTTGAAATTCTTACAATTATTAAATTATTAACAAAATTTGGTACCTTTCTGTCACTGAACGCCTAAAATTTTTCCAAATAAGTATTATCACCACTCAATATCTTCTTACTCAGCCTTGGTTATCCAACAATTTTAATATGTTTCTTCTTAATTATCTCCACTCACCATATAAATATATAAATTTAAATCCTTGTAATTTCCATATAATGTACTTTCAAATATACTGGATCTTGTGGTTGTACTACTATTGAATGCTTACTTCAATGAATTAACTTCATACTGTCACTATATTACTGTAATAATAATTAATCTCCAACTGTATTTGACTTAATTAATTCATTTAACTTAATCAATGCCTTCTTCTAGCTAATAATCTCTTCATAACCTCATAAATTCTTCTTAATTCTTCTTTATAATTAATAATCTAATGTAACTGACTTAATAATAATCCTTGAATTCTTAAATTCTTCAAACTAATTCACTTAATAATTGACTGTAACTGCTTGTAACTTAACTCACTTCACGAATCAACTCTAACTTAATAATAATCTGTAACTTAATGCCTTGAATTCTTCTAACTTTTTAATAATCTTAATCATAATCTGTAATTGACTTCATTTCTTCTAACTAACTAACTTAATAATAATCTGTACTTGAATTAATAATCCCGTGTAACTTATACATTTAAATGAAATTTATTATCACTATTTTCAACCGTAATTATATTTTAAATTAACATTACAAATAAATAAACCCCTTTTGACTTTTGACACTACAGTGTATATCTAGTTGCATATACATATGGCTGACTTATAATTAAAAAAAAAACTTTTAACATTTATTATATGCTAGATTCTTAAAAATACCCTCATATAATTATTTTTTAATAATATTATCTAGTATATAACTTATAAATTATGTCTTTAATTACTATTTAAATAAATTTATTAATTAACAGTGTATACCTGAAGCTAATTTATCGTATTTCTGTTCTCATTACAATACCCCAATATATATATATATATATATATATATATATATATATATATATATATATATATATTTATAGGGTATGACACAGGTATAGAAATGACAATTGATTGGATCCCCCGTCACATGCAACCTGCAAAGTTACTATAACAACAATCTTTTTTTAAGTTATATTTCTGAAATCTTAGTTTTCATGTTCTTTTCATATTTAGTGCAAAAAATTGAAGTTACTAGCAAAAAGAATGAAACGGATCTACTTTATGATTATTTAATTATAAGAATAAATGAGAAAATTGTATTTATGAGGATTTTTAAAAACAAAGATAACGTGTATATAACATTAACTATAAATATGTATTGAGCAGTTCGAGCGCGTGGCGTTTCACTGCGAACCAATCGTGCGCCTCAGACCAATTATACCTTGGCTAAACATAAACCGACGAATATTTTCTCTAGATCAAAATGTTTCTTCAGAGTTTTCCTATAATTACTTTTAATTTATTTGTAAATATATTATTGCTCAAATATGCTTAATGCCGTTATAAACAAATTCATTTACATTTTTTTTTAGAAATTTACAACTTTAAATGGGTATAACTTTAATACAAATAAAGTTAAAGTAGTTTAACAAATTTTCGCAAATCTTATTTGCATGCGTAGAAGTCGACTTACGATTAAAAAAGCGTAAAAAATACTTATTTTACATCCAATTTGCACTAATTTTACAATAATTTGGGATATAATATTGGATTAAAGTCTAGTAAACGCAATTTTCTTTATTTTAAGGAACAAATTTTATTAAACAAAATATTTCTATTGTTTGTTTCTTATAAAACAGCTAAAACAAAATGTTTCTTATAAAACAGCTAAATTGTTTTTAACAATTGTTTGACCACTCGGATCGAAATCTACACTCTAAATTTATAGTCACAGCCACATAAAAAAACTTAGTTGAACCTATCAGAATTGAGTAGGTCATGGTGGCCCTTATTTGCTCCATAGAGTATTGTTACTAAAAGAATAGTTAACTTCTAACTTTATGATATTTATATATTTTATTAAATACAAAATAACTTACCAATACTAGTATCATAAGCATGTAGATATTCCGAAGTCATAAACTGTAATACTAATGATGATTTTCCCACAGCAGGTCCTCCCAACATAAGTACCTTGTAAGGTGTTGGTCCGGGAGCACTGGTACTTGATTCCCGAGAAGATGCTAAACTACAAGATGCAGAAGTCCTGGCAGAGCCCGCTGCTGATACAGCCGTTGGAAGTTGTTCCGTACTAAAATAAAAATGATTATTACACTTTCTAATTAAACTAGTAAATCAAAAAAAAGTAATAGCTTTAATCATTAACTAGTCATTAGGCGGTCAAAAAGACCCCACGTATTACAAATTACTAATATTTCGGACCACTTGGAAATATCTTAATAAGTCATATTTTTGGTTTTGTTTAAAACATTTTTAAAGTTTAAAACTCTGTGATTATGTTGAAATAAATCATACAATTAATTAGTGAGAAAAAGAAAAAAAATTGATAAATTGGTTGTTGGTTTACGTTTTAGTTCTTTTTAAATTTCTATTGAAAATTAATGGTATTCATTGTTTTTTATTCATGTAGTAAATATATTTTTACTGCAAAAAATATCAAACGACCATTGTCATAAAAAATTTTACAATATAATAATTCCAGTTTTCCAGTTAGTTCAATACTTTGTCATGGTTTATTTCTTGGTTTAAGCTGTAAGTTTGTCATAATAGGCCTTTGCTTTAATGCCACAAAAATCTTTGACAGATTGGAGGCCCTTGAACTTCTCCACAGAAATAGGCAGCAACTCCGTGCAGAAAGTGTTAAACATTCAGATTTTTCAAAACATTCACACTGAGTACAATTTTTTTAACTTTATAGAAAATTGTTTTTTAGTTGATTGTTAGAATGATATTAAACAACAACCTGTATAAGCAGAATCAGGTATTAGCATCTTGCCTTCTCTTAAATTTTTGATTTGTTCTATAACCAGTTTTCTCTTCCCTTCATTTTTTGCTTGACAGAAATGTTTTTCTGTCAATGTGAATAATAGCTTGTGTTCTTTTTCTTTTTATTTTTTAAAGCCTTTTTTAAAAACACTTACTCCCATGCGCCGTTAAAAGATGTTCTGAGACTAGTGAAAAACTGTATGTGAGTTTTCAAACAAAATTTCTCGAATAGGTCTGGTTCGGAAGGACAGTTTCTTTTTATTAGGCGAAATCTAAGAATGCTGTCCAAGATATAATAATCGTGGGCTCATCTTCTACTCTTACGACTAAAAAAGGTGTAGGCTTAACTCTGGAACACACAACTTTATGGCACCAATCATCCGTAATCTCACACCTAGACTTTTTCTTTATCAAAGAGGTATTTTTGTCACACTCAAGATATGAGTGTCCACGAATAGGGTATGTTATTTTTATAAGCTTTACTCTTTTCAAATTACTGACCAAAAAGTGGCAAAACTTGAATAAAGCACTGTTTTTGTTTTGACCCGAGGACGAATCACAGAAAATATAAAGCTCTTCAACATTAGGATCAAAGAAATTATATATATATATATATATATATATATATATATATATATATATATATATATATATATAAAACTGTTTTTGGTGGGTCGGAGTCAATAAAAGGGGCTATTTGTTGACTATTTTTTACTCGAACTTTCAATTGTGATTACAATTTTTATCAAGAGCTTCTAAAAAATACGAAATATCTTACAAAGTTGAACTAGAAATAAAAAATTTTTTGTTAACTCACCAAATAAAATTAGTTTTTTATATAAAACTACTGCTTACATATTAAATACAAAAAATATTAATAAAAAAATGTCTTATTATATTAAATGTTTCTCTGAAAAATTTTGATGAAGTTTCTTAAGAAAAAAATTGAATTTGTAAACAAAAATAGAATAGCTACAAACCAGCCTAAATGTCATAAATACTAACTTAAAAATTTTTATTTTTGACATATTGTCAAAAATAAAATTTTGTTTAAAAAATTCTTCTTTGTTTAGTAACAAAAAAGAAGAAGATTTATTCACCATTGATAGATGCCCGAAAAAATGTAACAAATACATGGAAAATTCAAAATGTGATATTTTACTGACTGCATATATAAATTAAATAGAAATTATATAATTATAAATTTTGCTTAAATTTTGAATTTCTGACCTTTTGTTTAAATTATTATCACTTTTGCTAATACAAACCATTTCCAAAAAAGTTCTTTTAAATTTATTACTTTCATTACATAAAATTTTAATATTATCAAAATCCATAATATGGTCTTTGTCTATTACATGCTCTGCCAAAGCACAAGATGGTTTCTTAATTCTACAATCACTCTTGTGAGAAATAATGCGATTTGAGAGATTTCTTCCAGTCTCACCAATATACTCAGCTTCACACTGAGTACAAACAATGCTGTATACTACATTTGTTTGATCTAATTTGTCTATAGGATATTTAGTTTTGGAATATAAAGATGAAATAGTTTTGATGTTCTTTGTTGCTATTTTTATATTGTCAATAACCTTTAATGTTTGTATTAATTTAGGAGTTAATGATGGTATAAAAGGTAGTGAATGATAATATATGTTTTGATTGTTGGATACAGTGTTTTGAGATTTAGCAAAAAATGGTGTTAAGTTATTTATATTTAATGAATTAGAAAAAAGCATCCTATGTAGCATATCTGGAGGATAAGAGTTTTCAATTAAAATATTTTTTAACAAATGAAGATCTTCTTGTAGATAGTCTGGATGAGAAAGTTTTAAAACACGTTCCTTTAATCCTGTTATAAGGTTCATTTTCATCTTATTTGGATGATTAGAGTAATAGCTTATAAATCTATTACTACATATGGGTTTTCTGAACCATCTAGTTTTCAACATATTGTCTGTATTTCTTACAATTCTCATGTCAAGGAATGGTAGAGAATTATCTACCTCTTCCTCAACTGTAAATTGTATATGTTGATTATGATTGTTGAAAATGTTGACTGTTTCAAGAATTTTGTGTTTAGGAAGTGCCAAAACTAGATCATCTACATACCTTTTGATAAATGGAATGAAAAAAGTGCAATTAGTGATACAATCACTAATAACATCATCCATGACATAGCTACGTAGAATGGGTGAAAGACTAGATCCCATAGGGCTACCAAAAATTTGTTTATAAAAAACACTATTAAATATAAAAATATTAGAATCAAAAACAAAGTTGATGAGTGTTTTAAAATGTAATAAGTCAATATTAGTATGTTGCGAAATCTCATTCCAATGTTTTTCAACACTACTTATGATTAAATTTAAAGGTAAATTGGTAAAAAGAGATGTTACATCAAAACTAACTAAAACATAATTTTGTGGTAACTGGAAATTATTAATGAAAGAACTAAAATCAAATGAATCTTTTATGTAAAAATTGTTGTTTAAATTATAAGCATTGGTTAAGATGTCAGTGAGGAGCTGTGCTATTGGTCCATTTGGAGGGCATAGAGATGAAACAATTGGTCTCATAGATAAAGTTGGTTTATGTATTTTAGGTAGAGCATAAAACCGCAATAGAATTATAAATTTTGAGTTCTTTTGCTTTTTTATTATCTATTATTTATTATTTTTATTATTTATTAGATAAAAGTACTTCTTTTTTCTTACTCTTATATGTATATATATATATATATATATATATATATATATATATATATATATATATATATATATGTATATATATATATATACATATATATATATATATATATATTTATATATATATATATATATATATATATGTATATATATGTACCTATATATATATGTATATAATAGATATAAATGTAAGACAAATGAAGAAACCTCGTCTGTAGCTTTCTTTCCAACATTTTCTGGATAGATATAAAAATAGCTGTCGCTACTTGAAAGCAGATGTACATTAAACATATATACGGATAATTACCTATTGTAGTAGACATCGTCGATTTCAATGTTATGGCATAAAATAGTCCTGATAAAATATAATTTGAGTAATGGCTTCTATTTTTGATGATTTCATAGCATTTTATTTAGCAGTCCTCTTTCTCTCATAAAAGTTGCTTGTTTTCTCTCAGTAAAGTTTTTGTTTAGTTTCAATTGCTTTTAGTTCTTGACTAAGCTTGTGCTTATTTAATGCATCTCTATCCTCGTTTATTTTTAAACTTAACGTTTTCTTTTCTGCAGTATATCTATCACACGTGCTACAAGTATCCGATCTCGGATATTCAAATCCAATGTTGAAATCAAGATTAAAAATAGACCTATAGCTTTCATAAGAAAAGTTAGGGGATTTTTGCATTTGGAATATTTCTCTTTAAACATAATAAACATTTTTTTAATGTTTAATGTAGAGTCATCTAAATAGATCCTTAAAGACTTTTTGAGGCTATAATGACTATTTCTGCTAGAGAAAGAACTTATGTGCTCATGGACTGCTTTTTTCAAATCCTCGTCCATTTGGTAAGGGCGATTTTTATGCAAACCCCGTAAGTCCCTAGGAGCGTCGTTTGATTTTTTAAATTTATTTACAAGAATATCAACTTTACCTCGTGTTATACCATGAAATGACACAAAAGCATTCTTGCAAACCTGGATATCTTCTATACTGGCTTCTAGTTTTATTTTTACATGATAACAGATAGTGCATTTTGGAAAACCAGCCTTATTCTCAGGTTTTCTAGCCCTTCGTTGTACAGGAACCAAAGTAACCAAAGCCGCTAAATATAAGTTTATTTCGTCATTATTTTTAAAAGAGTTTATATTTTTTATAATAGATTGTTTTTCATGTCCAGAGATTAAATCAAAACATTTCTTAGCACATTTACAAGCTTCGCCAGTTGCATGAGACTGTAACTTTAGTTTCTTTGAAACATCTTGCATCCTTCCAAAGCTTTTCCTTTTCTTAGAGTTTTTCCCACAAGCAAAAGGTAATTGATCACTCGAACACTCACCCGTATCTGCCATGATTATTTTGATTATCAGATAAAAGTATCAAATGTTGTAAATAATCACTTTCACTTTAAAATAAAACAAACTAAGCACTAACATAACCTTTAAAACACAGAAACTGTAGGAATCAGGTTACCCAATGTCGCATGCCCTTGTTGCCAACTACTAGGATTACCTGGACTTATCAACGTTTTCTCCTGTTTGGAATGGACATGTCAAGTTCTTTTCCTATACAGGTTTTTTTAAACACTTATATCTTTTGACATATCGAGTTATTACTCTGTATTGTGTTACTCTTAGAAACTATGTAATTAAAGCTACAAAGTGGTATTAAAAACGAGAAATGTCAAAAAATGGACTTATCAAGTGTGGTCTTTTGTGGTCTTTATTTGTTTATTTGTCAACCTGGCCCTTCAGTAGCTTACTTACTCGACACGTGGAACTTTATTTTTAAATCAGAGAAGCGGTAGGTAAGTTGATTTAGAATTACAGCCCAAAAGTCATAAATTCCACGAGCGTCTGGTCAGTTAAAAAGTTTTATTAGTTTTTATAAATCGTTTTGTGTTTTTTATCTCTGTAAGGGTAAGTTATGTATAAGTGTTAGTTTTTAAATATACTATTATACTATTGTCATATTTTTTAGTAATCGTTTGAGATTACTTCTTTTTTTACATCGGTCAGAAACTTCGTATGTGACTAGTCATCAAATTTTTTATTTATTACTTTGCTTACTTTGCAGCAAATTACAATTACGACATTTTGTACCTTTTATTTTTTTTAATTTTAAGCAAACTTTTTCATTAAACTTGTTCCACTTCATTTTCAGAATTACTTATGGCAATAAAGAAAGGAGACTTTAAGTCATCATACTAAAAGAAATGTTCAAAATAGAATATAACGAGATGACAAAATCAAGAATAAAGATAAAGATGAAGAACGATATTGATGAGAGTTCTGGAAATTCGAAAAGCGAACAAGAACATGATTTAGAAGAAAGTTATTTTGTTGATGAGGACATGATTTACATAACTATGGAAAAAAATTATAAATATATTGAAAGGGAAGCAAGGAATTTCTTAAGAAATAGGGATGCAAGCTTACAAACCCGTCTGAAATTCTCGCTCTTATAATTCTTTTACTGGATGTCAACAAAATGTCTAGAAGTTGAACAACTTCAAACAAGATGCGATACTTTTACTGTCCATAAAAAAGTGAAAGAAATGACAGGTGTAGAAAAAGACAAAAACCATAATTAAGAAATAATAATAACGAGATAATTAGAGGAACAGGAGACGAACTGAAAAAATGGAAAGAATACATTCAGACAATTTTTGACGATGATAGACATTGTTCTTCACCATCCATGGATGATTTAATAAATGGAACAGATCCAAAAATAACAAAAAAAGCTATTTATGCAGTAAAAGCTTAAAAGAACGGGAAAATCATCGGTTCAGACAATATCAATGTCAAAATACCTTAATTAGTTGCAGACAAGGAAAGTATAAGCCTCAACTTAATAACACCACTATTTTATAGAATATGTGACACAGGTAAAACACTCAGACTGGCTAAAATCTACATTTGTATCATTACCAAAAAAATCCAATGCTTTACACTGCGATGACTATCGAGTATTAAGCATGATGTCTTATATCCTTAAACTCTTTTTCAGAATTATTTATACACGAATTTACAAGAAGTGTGAGTTTCAGATGGCTGAAACTCAATTTCGAAATGGACTGGAAACACGAGTAGCTCTTTTTGCCTTACATGTATTAATACAACGATGCAGAGACATTTATGTAGATGTATATGCATGTTTTATTGATTATCGAAAAGTGTTTGACTACGTAAACTATCAAAAGATCAAAAATCTGAGAACAACTGGAATTGATAAACAAGACTTGCAAATTATCTCAGAACTATACGAATCCGACGAGAAATGCGACATGGTTGCGTCTGATCAGCACTATTATATAATCTGTATTCGGCATATATATTTAAAAAATCAGTAGACGAGGTTCAACGTGAAATCAAGATTAACGAAACCAGTAACGATAACATTAGGTACGCTAATATGATACCATCTAATAGGATGCAACGCACAAGAACTACAAAATATAATAAATACGGTAGTTCGTCACAGCGAAATGTTCGGTTTACATCTAAATATTTCCAAAACTAAAATTCTAGTATTTTTAACGATACCAAAAAATTATATTACATACATTAGTATGCCAAGGAACGAATAATTAAACAGGTAACTTTAATTAAAATTTTGGAAGCAAATATTAACAGCCAGTGTAGTTTAAAAAACAAATCCTCTCAAAAATCGAACAAGAAAGGAAAACACTCATAAACATAAAAAAAAATTATAAGATCAGACTTTAGTCTATAGCTCAACATTCGTATGATTAGATGTTACGTTTTCTCTGTTGTGCTGTATGGCTGTGAAAAATGAACAATGGACTCTAAAACAGAAAAAAATACACGCCTTTGATGATGATGATAATGATAGTGTGTTTGGTATGGAAACTAGTCCTTTTGCCACAGATTTTAAAGTAATTTATGTGATGTTTATGAATTAAAACTTGATTGTACCAAATTGATATAATATATCCAGATGCATATAAGTGATTATATATAAGTTCTATTGATTTCTGATTCAGTGACAGTAGGTGGCTTATGTTTATTGGAAGTTTTACATTACTTTAAACTAGGTTTTTCTAAAACGTACATGAGAGTGCTTTATTGTTAATACATCCAAACAGAATATGATTAAAAGCACACTGGAAAATATTATCGCATAAACACTTTTCTAATTCTATAATGTTTAACCTAGCCAGGTGAGCAGAAAAAGCACCGTGACTACTTTTTAATCTTGTGATAGTTACTGCTGATCGGTTAGATATATTATAATGAAATATGTGTGGTAATTTTGTTGGGGATGGTAACGTAGGATGAATCTTGTAATATTAATTATTTAAAGTATTCTCCAATATTTTCCATCTGTCTTGTCAGTTTAAATTTATTTTGTTATTGTAAAATTTGATTAGATATACTAATACTATGTAAATATATTCTTGTATAGCTGAATTACTAGAATCCTTAGCGAGATCGTCCACTATTTCGTTATCTTTTATCCCGGAATCACTATTTGCCCAAATAAATGTTACATCTTTGTTTCTCATTTTTTGTGAGTCATCAAATCTATAATGAATCATTTAGAGGATTCGAGGTAGTAAAGCCTGTTAAATAGGGAGATGCTAATGATAAGTCTATCATTGAAGGACGTTTATTTGGTTTGGATATTTTCTTTGGTCTTCCAGCATTGAGTAAAATTAGATAAGTTTTGTCTAAAGCGTCAGCTAGAATATTACCTTGTGTACTATCCTGTATGGAACTCCACCTACAGTGATGACTATTAAAGTCGCCACCAATTAAAACTCTGCCTTTAATTTGTCCAAATAAATTTTCCCAATCTTTGGATGAGACATATATTTTAGGAATTTTGTAAACACATAGTGTAAATAATTTTACTTGGTTTAGAAAAACACCGCAAGTCTCCATATTTGAATTATAATTTGTTTTGTCAGTTTAAAACCTACAAGTTCTTTCAACAATATACACTCAATATAAACGTTAAGAAGACAAAGCTTATGATAATTAGCAAGAAAAGGATAACAGAAGGTCAACTCTACGTCAACCAATCCCCTGTAGAAAGAGTGACGCACTGCAACTACCTCGGCAGCATAATAAATGAAGAATGAACCAACAGCTAGGAGATTAGAGTACACATCGGAAAAGCTAGATTCACCTTCAATCGGATGGGGGCATTCTTCAAGAGTCACAACCTCTCTCTTGATACAGAAGTAAGAATGCTGCAAAGCTATATCTTCTCTGTCCTTTTTTATAGTGTTTGATCGTGGACCTTTAATAAAGATATGTGCAGAAAACTGAAAGCATTTGAGATGTGACTATATTGGAGAATACTGAAGATCTCGTCGACTGATGAGTTACAAATAAGGAGGTCCTCAGAAGAATGAATAAGAATCGAGAGGTACTGACTCACATCATCAAATCTCGAAAATTAAAATTCTATGGAATTATGCAAAATGAATCCAGATATGCTCTTCTTCAAGCCATCTTACAAGGAAAAATCTTACAAGGAAAACGAGGTCCATTAAGAAGAAGAACATGTTGGTTAAAGAACCTCAGAATCTGGTTCAATACAACATCTGTGCAACTTTTTCGTGCTCTGCAGATAATATAAAGATTGCCATGATGATCGCCAAAAGAAAACGTTTAAGGTACGAGCAAATGTAACACTATCATCAACTCAAATCCGGGAAGAAGGAGTCCCCCAAGGATTAGTGTTAAGTGTAACTTTATTTCCTTGGTGCAATTAACGATATCTTAGAATACTGTCAACATCCAGTTAAAGAAAGACTATTCGCAGTCGATATGGTTCTCCTACTAAGAGGAACAAATTTAGAAACCACCCAGAGAATCCTTCAAAGCGCATCAAATAATCTTTAGAAATGGTCTAAGAAAACAGGATTTAGCTTCACTAACGAAAAAACAAAAAGCTTGCTTTTTTTGGTAGAAACATCGTAAAAATCACCCCAATTAAAAACCTAAATGTAATTAATCATTACCGCTTTACAATTTAGTTTATTTATAATTATTTTTATACACTTTGTTAGTTTTACTTATCCAAAGTGCTTATAAAAATAAAATTAAGGTATTTTTTATTTATTTCGAAAAAAAAATGCATTTTTAAATGAGTAAATTAAATATACGTCTTGCTTAGCTCGTATAACTCGTTCAAAAATAGGGGTTAAAAAAATTAATTTAAATGATTTTATTGCACTTAAAAAACCTACAAAATGGTTTTTAAGTACATTATAACTTTAAAGCTAGTAGAGTTGAACAAATAAAAAAACACATATTTTAGGAGATATCAGAACGCATATTACACTGGAGCATTGAAAGATACACATAATGTACTC